TGGGGGGTGGGTGTTGGGTGGGGACGGGTGTCGGGGGGACTCGACTTGGGCTCGGACGGCCGGGCAGGCGGCAGCATGGAGCGTCTTCCGGCTGAGCTTGTCCATGCCATAGCCTTTGATGCCGGAGTACTCGGGGCGCGCGATGTGGACGCCCTCGCCGCCACCTGCACGCGGCTGGCGGACGTCCTGGTCCACGACTCGTGGGGCGCCGCACGTCGCCGGGCTCTGCGCGGCTTGATGTGGGTGGCGCGTGCGGCGGCCTTTGACGCGGTCGTCTGCTGGTGCGCCGCCGATGCGAGGCGGGATGCGGCGGCGGCGGCGCGGCCGAGGTCCGGCCCGCCGCGACCGGGCGGGGGGTCGGCGGGTGTGGACCGAGGCAGCGGCGGATGTGTGCTGGAGTCGCCGGCGAGCCGTGAGATGCGCGCCGCACTCGATGTGCTCGCGGCGCATGTTGAGGCTGGTGCGGGAGCTGCAGACGAGGGGCAGGCTGCGCTGCGCGCCCTGCTGAAGCGTTACGTGGCAGCCGGCGGCGGCGGCGGGCACGAGCTCGACCGATGCCTCCGCCGGTGGCTGCGAGCTGATCGCACCACCGCTGTGATTGCTGCGGTCGGTGACGGCGGTCTCGAGCTGTCGCCGGAAGCGTTTGCAAGGACGGTACAGAGCGTGCGCGGAGCGCACGCTGTGGCGATTGCCGAGCCTATTCTTGCCGCGCAGCCGCAGATGGCACCGTCGCGCGCCACCGGCGCGTTTCTGCTCTCGGTCGGCGCCTTTGCGGCGGGTAGTACGGTCATCAACCGTGATGACGGACAAGCGCGAGTTGCCGACGTTCTTGCGGCATACAGCGGCTTGCCACGGGCGAGCGACGGCGGGCGTAGTGAGCTTGCGCGCAGCCTTATCGCTCGCTTCGAGGCCGAAGTCGCTGCGCAAGCGCCGGGCGTCCTGGACGAGCTTCTTGTTGGCGCTTGTCGCCACGGCTCGGTCGATGCGCTGCGTCTTTGGCTGGCGTTGGCGCCTTCGCCTGGCGCGCTCCTGGGTGCCCTCTCTCTTGTCGTCGAATGGTCGGCCGCCGCCCTGGTCCCAGTCGTTGTGCGCGAACTCCGCGCTGTAGCCAGCACTGCACTGCAGCCTGCCCTCGCGGTGGAGCTTCTGATAGCAGCCGCGCTCTCGCAGCAGGGACCGGACACAGTTGCCGCGCTTGTGGACGCCGGGCGCGGATGGATCACAAGTGCGGCACTGGCTCAAGCTTGGGCGGCCGTCGGCCACGATGCCGACGTCCGCGACGAGTGCCGTGCGTTCCTTGCAGAGGCCTGCGGCGGCCTTGTGGGCGATCAGGAAAAGGAGTAGGCGTAGAGGTTGAGGTTGGGCGTGAGCTTATTGGCATGATGGTCCTTAAACTCGAGCTTGGCTCTGGAGGAGGTTGGGATGGTAGAGGTGAGGGGGACTTTGAAAGACACCCCAAACTTTGACATCCCTCAAACCGACAAAATATCGACTATATACTTATATAAATGCTCAAATTTATTCAAATATATATAAAATTTATACAGAATTTGCATTTTATCACAGCCACACATTATGTGCTATATTATTATATTTTTTACACACAAAATCCTACTTGACCACGTTTTAATGATTTCAGTTCGAAACGCTCGTACTGACTATGTCACGGCACAGCTTGTGTGGTGTCAGGCGCGAAATCTTTCCACCGTCACGGTCTGGCGTTCTGCCCATGGCCAAGTCATAGTCGGGGTCAAAGCCCAGCCCCAGCCGTAGCCGCAAGCCAAAGTGCGGGCAGGCTGCCCTGCCGTCCAACGTCATCCATGGGCCCCATTGAGCCCGGAGCTCTCCATATTGTTGTCAGACTCTTGAGCCTGGCCACCCCTTTTCATTCCCCCCCGCCCACCCTCGCCGTCCGCCAGCTCTCCCCGAGCTCACTTACTCATGCCCGATGCATCACTTCTCACTATCAATCGCCGCTACAATGCGTTGCTCTACCTCGCTCTTGGTTCTGCCTGCAGGCTGCGCCTTGCACGCCGAGCCGCATCGCTCGCTGCCCCTCCCCGGTAATCATTGCTCGCACAACTGGCACCGAACACTGCGGCCAGGTCGGTTCGCACCCCTTCCATTCCCCGCACGTCTCCCGCCCCCCCCCCCCCCACCGCACGGCCCCCTCACCCCACTCCACCGTCCCTTCATAAGCAAGAACGCTTTCTCAAGGCTCCATGGTGTTGTGTGGCTCGTCCAAGCGCAACGCGTCGGACCCGCCGCGGGCATCGACGCGGACGCCCGCGGTGCCGCGGCGGCCGCAGCCGACACGCGAGCCTGCAGCGGTGGGCAGCGGCGACGTTGCGTGGTTTGCGGCTGAGGACGCCGAGTATGACCGGCCGCTGGTAGTGCTGCCACTGGCGGCGGCAAGTGACGGTGGTGGCGGTGGCGGCGGTGGCTCGAGCGCGGCAGCGGCGAGCGATAGCGATGAGGCGCTGCGGTGCTTGGCAATGGTGGGCGTGGTGTGCGGGCACGGCGGCCCGGGAGCGGCGGCGGCCGTGCTGGAGCTGCTGCCGGCAGCGGTGGCTGCGACAACAGCAGCGGAGCCTTGCGGGACGCCCGAGTATTGGGCGGTGACGGCGGCGACCGAGGTCGACAACGCCATGCAGGCCGACCACTCGCTGGCGTACGAGGGCGCGTCGGCGGCGTGGGCGGTCATCGAAGCTGAGGAGACCTTTGTCATTTCAGGCGTCAACGGCGACGACGATGACGAGTGGGACGCCTCGGTCCACGTGCCTGAGTTCACCACCTCGGTTGTGCTCGGCTCGTCACGCATGGGCGACTCGCTGGCCAACTTTGCCGACGCCGCGCTGATGGTCCATGTTCATGTGGCGTGGGTCGGGGGACCGGCGTGCACTACTTTGCTCGCCGCTCGTCCGGCAGCCTGCGTATGACCCGGGTCTCGACACCGCACGTTGTGAGCAATGGCGCCGAGCGTGAGCGAGTCATATCCTCGGGTGGCGTCATCGTCGCTGACAAGGTCCAAGGCGTGCTCGAAGTGACCCGCTCGTTTGGCGACGCTGGCGTCGCCGGCAAACTCGTCCACGCAAAGCCCGATGTTGTCTCGCTCCGCGTCGAGCCCGACATGCTCTGGCTGCTCATGGTCTCACCGCAGCTCGACGCCGTGCTCAGCACTCCGTCGGTTGCCCGCGAGCTTCAGACCCTCATCGGCGCCATGAGCTCGGCCAACGACGTCGCCGCCAGCATCGGCGAGTGGGCCTGTAGCCACGGCGCGCCATCGTCGTCGCTCGTGGTCCTCAACCTTGGCGGCCTCGCCGCTTGATGGTCTAGTGGACGGCCGGCTGACGGACCAATACTTGACTCCATCTCGCCACATGACCGCCACTTCGCACTCGACTCTGCACGATCTGCTGGTGCTGGCGCTGGCGCTGGCGCTAGCCCTGGCGGTACCGACGGCGGCGGCCGGCCGCATCGGTCTGCTGTACTCGTATGCGTCAGACGATGCGTGCCAGGGCACGCCGTGGGCGGTGGACATCATCCCCGACCCGACTCCGGCGCAGTGCACCAACTCGACGTGCTGGGGCGGCGGTGCGCAGCCGTTCCGCCAGTCGGTCTGCGTCGACAAGATGCCCGACTTTCCGCCGGCGGCCTACCCGCTGCGCTCCGACATGTTCCGCAACACAGCATGCTCCGGCGCGCCCTGGGTCTCAGTCGTCGCCTCGGACGCCTGTGTCCGCGACGGTGCCGGCGGCTACATCCGCACTACATGCAATGCCACGGGTGTCTACTTTTATTCCTTCTGCGCAGAGGGCTGCAGCCCGGTCGACTGCCGCTCCGTCGAGCTCACGCCTTACGGCTGCGTCGCCACCGGCTCCGACTCGGCCGCCACCTCGACCTGCCGCACTTAGGGGTAGGGGGGGGGAGGGGGGAGGGGGTACTAACTTAGCATGTAA